AGAATTTATGTTGTCGAGAAAGTTTCAGTTTTCAGTTTTAGGTAATATAATTGTTATTTAGATTTAGATTTCTTAGATTTATTTACTGCAATTGAATTTTATATATTTTTGATTCAATTGAATATTTGGAAACTGTATTTTGTTGTTTGATAGTTTAAAGTCACGATTGGAAAGAAATGGGCTAAAATGTACGATTTTTATTTAGAGAAAAACATTGTTGCATTAGAATTTATGTTGTCGAGAAAGTTTCAGTTTTCAGTTTTAGGTAATATAATGGTTATTTAGATTTAGATTTCTTAGATTTATTTGCTGCAATTGAATTTAGTATATTTTTGATTCAATTGAATATTTGGAATCTGTATTTTGTTGTTTGATAGTTTAAAGTCACGATTGGAAAGAAATGGGTTAAAATGTACGATTTTTATTTAGAGAAAAACATTGTTGCATTATAATTTATGTTGTCGAGAAAGTTTCAGATTTCAGTTTTAGGTAATATAATTGTTATTTAGATTTAGATTTCTTAGATTTATTTGCTACAATTGAATTTAGTATATTTTTGATTCAATTGAATATTTGGAAACTGTATTTTGTTGTTTGATAGTTTAAAGTCACGATTGGAAAGAAATTATTGTTTTTTTATTATTGGAAAGTAATCGTCTTGCATTAGAAAAAAATATGTGTTACAATCTTTGAAATTTGCTACCAATATCTTTAATTATTTTATTGTGATAGCAGTTAATGCTTATTGTTGTATTTAAATAAGAGAATTTCATCAATCGTACTTATTATGATTAGCTAATGTTTAATGGCATTACATTTATGTAATTAATATAGATAAAATTAAAGTGTTGCTTGTAATTTAGTTTTGAGCTAAAATGTACGATTTTTATTTAGAGACAAACATTTGTTGAATTAGAATCTATGTTGTCGAGAAAGTTTCAGTTTTCAGTTTTAGGTAATATAATTATTATTTAGATTTAGATTTCTTAGATTTATTTGCTGCAATTGAATTTTGTATATTTTTGATTCAATTGAATATTGGGAATCTGTATTTTGTTGTTTTATAGTTTAAAGTCACGATTGGAAAGAAATTACGGTTGTTTTTTTATTATTGGAAAGTAATCGTCTTGCATTAGAAAAAAATATGTGTTACAATCTTTGAAATTTGCTACCAATATCTTTAATTATTTTATTGTGATAGCAGTTAATGCTTATCGTTGTATGTAAATAAGAGAATTTCATCAATCGTACTTATCATGATTAGCTAATGTTTAATGGTATTACATTTATGTAATTAATATAGATAAAATTAAAGTGTTAAATAAGGTGGGTCAAGAAAAGAAATTCAGTAGTGTAGATGATTTTTATTATCAAACAAAATTGTATTTGTTAATAATAGATCTTGAGAGTTTATAATCTTCTTTTCAGGATCTGTGGATTCTTCTCATTCTTCTGGTTTTTCTTATGGTTTTTCTTCGGGTTTTTCTTCTGGTTCTTCGGGTTTTTCTTCTGGTTCTTCGGGTTTTTCTTCTGGTTCTTCGGGTTTTTCTTCGGGTTTTTCCTTTAACTTTTTGCTGATCTGTTCCTTATATTTGTTAACCTCAGTGAAAATGGATGGGATTCCTTCCGCTCCGCAAGGAATAACTCCCCAACTCACTATACCAATCAAATTATATGAAACAGCTTTTCCTTCTGAATCTTCAACTACATCAACTAAAGGACCACCGGAATCGCCGTTGCAAACGGTTTGAGATGAACTTTCATTTTCTACGTCGTGCATTGTACAGAAATTGTCTTCGTGTAAGAATTCTTCCTCAACACCCAATTTTTTTAAATTTTCCTTGCACTCTAAAAAAAGAAAAGAAAAGATATTACATTTTTAAGTAAACAATTAAACGTTCCAAATTACCGTCTTTCGTGATAATATCAATTTTGGTGGATTGCAATAATTCCTCTTCAGACATTTTCGAAGAGTCAGCGTCTTTATAACCCCAACCAGCTAATTTCAATTTTTCGAAATTAGACTCTTCTGTTATTTCAGCATAATCAACTTTCGGAACATTTGTCAAGGGTTTCTTTAACTGTAGTACGCAGAGATCAGCTCCTTTTGTTGGTGGATCCTGGAAGCTAAAACATTTAATTGTAAACTGTTTGCCTTTGTTTGATACGAATCAAATTGAAGAAAAAAAATTATAAAATAAAAGTAATTTATCTACACATTTAAATAGTTTCTTACCTTTCAGGTGTTTCTAAGTCAATTAGTTGAAGTGCTTCAACTACATGGAATTTCTCACCCAATTTCGAAATTTCCTCTTTCGTTACTTTAACTTTATCACTCTCGGCCAAGACGAACAACTCCCTTGCTGGGAATTTTTCGCAGCAATGTTTCGCCGTGATCACGTTATATTCATCGATGATCGCACCGCCGCAAATGTGATAATACGTGTTGTATTTTCCCCATTGCACAGAAACAAGATAGGGAAAATCTTCGATTTTGGCTCCTTCACCGCCGATGATGTATTTGTTGGGAGCGGCTGTAAGCAAATCGAAGAAACCATCAACATTACCTCTAAATTAGTTGTAGTTAAAATGTGCATTACCGTAGGCGCAAGCCAGGACCGCCGCGAGGACTATCGCAATCTTCATGGTCGCAGTTCAAACTTCGTCACAACGATCAGCCCATCTCCTTTATATATATACCAACAGCAACAAAAACAAAATTGAGGAATTAAATTATCAGAAACTATCTTATATCATATGATAAGACGCGAAAGCATTCGAGGTGCAGATAACATTTTATTTAGGTAAGAAAATAATATAAAAAAAAAATACATTTAATATTAATTCCACGTGCTTCTCCACTCCATTTCTTATCAAATTACTATTTAAAAAAAAAAATGTCTTCCACACACATCCTTAATAAGAAATTTATAATTTTGGAATTTACAATTTTTTAGAAATCTCCGACTGTTGGACGAAATTTGATGTTTGCAAATCTACAATTTCAATTGGAAGCTTTAGCAGGGTTTTCAATTCTGTTTAACTTAAATGAATCAGGCATTTTTATTAGAAAAAAATAAATCTTAACACTTTTATTTAGTAAATCTTTATTAAACTAAATCGGTTTTTTTTTACTTTGAAGTTACTGGATTCTTCGTGTATTTCTCCAAATAAGTTTTATAATCTTTAATACCGGTATAAATAGTTGGAACTATTGACACACCGCACGGAACGATACCCCAAGTAACGATTCCTATCAACTTCCCGTTAGAAACTAGTGGACCACCAGAATCTCCTTTGCAAGCAGTTACTCCATTCTTATTTTCGGTGCAAATATTTTCTTTCTCTAGTTTACGTTCGATACCCATATTATTCAATCTTCCGTCGCAAGCTTAAACGAAAAACAATATAAACGTTTCTTTTTTAAATTATCAATACATTTAATACTTTTATCATCGCTTAAATCTTCAATTTTTCGTGGCAAGATCTTCAAATTTCTATCCACTTTTAGATTTGTATATGACATTTCATTGCTAGAATCAGTTACACCCCAACCGCTCAAAATTAAGTTTCCAGTATCTTCAGTTATGCCATCATAACATAATTCAATTGATCTTATATTTTTATCATTTTCAATTTCTTTTTGTAATTCTAATACACACAGATCGTCCTTAAGAGGTGCTTTGGGAAATACATTTCTAAAAGGAAAATGAATTTTCTTTTTTAATATTTGTTTTAAGTACTAATACATACTCCTCTTTTAATATTTGTATAATTTTGTACAAATGATCATTTGTATCATCATTTACGGTAATATCATTTGTACCGGCCATAACAACCAAATTGTCAGTCACGAAATCCTTACAACAATGCTTTGCTGTTAATACATGTTTCTTTCCAATGACTGCACCGCCGCAAATATGATAATACTTTTCATCATTTCCATTCGTCCATTGCACAGAAACTGTATACGAATAATTAATAAAATCTTTATCTTCTACAATCTCTGCAGTTTCACCGACGATATACTTTTCCGGCGCCGCTGAAACAACAAAGGAAATCAAACAATGTGTACAACTCCAAACATAATTACTCATTACCGAAAACGCAGACAAAGAGCGCTGTAAGAAGCAGAACGGATTTCATGTTGAGACTTTAAGTCTCGAACCCGACGCATTTTCATTTATAGTCATGAGGAAAGTTTGTTTATACAACAAAAAAAAAACTACATACAATTTCGTTATCGTTTGATATCGATGTTAAAGTAGGTAGACGTTACATAAATAACAATTTAGGAAACTGAATTGACGCAAACAAAATTTATATCAAATTACATAAAAAAAAACCATTGCATTTTATTCAAATTACTTATTTTATTTGTCTAATATTGTTAAATTTTTGATTAAGGTTTTAAGAGATTTAAGATGAAATTATTTGAGGCCGAATTCGTATTGCTTCACACTAATTTAAATTGAATGTGGAAATTGATTACGCCGCATTTTCTATTTAAGCCCATTTTCTATTTAAGCTGTTAAAGTAGACGTTACATAAATAACAATTTAGAAAACTGAATTGACGCAAACAAAATTTATATCAAATTACATAAAAAAAAACCATTGCATTTTATTCAAGTTACTTATTTTATTTGTCTAATATTGCTAAATTTTTTATTAAGGTTTTAAGAGATTTAAGATGAAATTATTGGAGGCCGCATTCGTATTGCTTCACACAAATTTAAATTGAATGTGGAAATTGATTACGCCGCATTTCTATTTAAGCCCATTTTCTATTTAAGATGTTAAAGTAGACGTTACATAAATAACAATTTAGAAAACTGAATTGACGCAAACAAAATTTATATCAAATTTCATAAAAAAAAACCATTGCATTTTATTCAAATTACTTATTTTATTTGTCTAATATTGCTAAATTTTTTATTAAGGTTTTAAGAGATTTAAGATGAAATTATTTGAGGCCGAATTCGTATTGCTTCACACTAATTTAAATTGAATGTGGAAATT